AAGGGGATGTTCACATGGATTAATTAAAAGAGAGATGAAACTGATTTCAGTATGTGGCTTGCTCAGAAGCTGTCCCAAGAGTTAGTTTTTAAGGAGAAATTTTGAGTAAAAAAAAATTTTTTTTTTTTACTGGGTTTGAGTAAAAAAAAAGTCAATCCTGAAATAAGTGAACATTCAGACCCCCAAAGTGGCTGGTTACCACGTTCTAACATTCATTAGGTTTCATTGGATGTAACACAATTGGTTACAAAAATCAACTATTTCATATCGTACCTCTTAGAGTCTTCAGCTTTTGCTAATTGCTTTATGTGAGTTTGTCTTGTTTCTACAGGATTTGAGATGTGTTCTATAAATCCAGTGTATTGTACCGTTTTGAACATATATGGTGAATTCAGCCACTCTTAATTTCATAAGGTTTCTAAAAGTACTTACAGTGCTCCAGGCACTGCCTTCTGAGAACAGATGCCCACTCACTACTGCAACCCTATGTCTCCCCTTGTCATGAAAAAGCATCAAAGAACACATGATCTTGACCTGTAGGGAGTTCCTGGTCTGGCTTCAGAGACAGAGAAAGAAGGAAGAACTTGCTAAATGGTGTGGTAAATGCTGTGACTGGAAAGGGTAGGGAATAGGGAAATTTCAGCCAAACTCAGCTTCAACATGGCGGAGAATGCTGGGGGCTGAAGTGGGGCCTGGAATAAATCCAGAGGCGGTGTCTTCTAAATTCTTGTATGCACACATTGAGACTTAGCCAGTTGGAAGGAGGGCATTGGAGATGGAAGGAAAGGCACAAGCAAAGGCCTAGACAGGGAGAAGAGCAGGCAGTGCAGGGAAGCAGATGGAGGTTTCACACAGCTGGAACGTAGAGTTGGCTAAGGGCTGGCAAGGAAAGGGGGTGACCTGAAACAACGAAGGCTTGAATGTTGTGCTATGTAACATAGGCTTTCCTGGAAGGACAATAGGGAGAGACAGAAAGATTTGAACGGGTTGGTAACAAAATCGGATTTTCACTTTTGTTCATTCTGGAGGCTCTGTGGGAACTAAATTGTGAGAAAAAAGAGTGGACGGAAGGTGGCCTTGGAGGGATGCGGTGACATACCGATTGAGTCAGCATGAGTGCAAATAGAGAGATGTAGAAATGGGTATTCAAAGGGGAAGAAAGCCTATGTGTAAGCAGGTCAGTGGGGTGGGGACAGGCAGGCATGGGAAGGAAGTGTGTCACCTGCAAGTAAGTGAGCTGGGCTGAGGAAGGATGTGTGCCTTTGCCTCTTAGCCTTATTTGGGGTGGGAGTGGGGGTGGGCAGGACCAGCAGCCTCCTTCCTGTCCCTGGTCTTTCTGTTTGATGTTGTCTCTGTGTGAAACTCTTCTAGAAGATCTTTGATCACATGTGGCAAGGCCTACCACAAACCCTTTCATTTGCTGACAAAACCTGCTGACAAAGCAAAAACTTCCACATCCTGTGCTTTGTCTCATAGCTGATTAGCTGAGATAATAACTCTGCCCTCTGAAGCTTACCAAGAAAAACCACCAGCACTACCGAGAACTGTTTTGGAAAGTTAACAAAGTGTGACGTCTGCAGTTTGCAAACTGACCACAGTGTTAAGCCACACCCTTTGGATTTGGTTACCCCTCCCTATAAAAGCTATACTGTCTTAGCAGCTGAGCCATTCTCATTATCTTCAGATAAGGGTAGTTTCCCTATTGCAATAGCCTAAATAAAAGCAATTTTAACTTGTCTGTTTCTTTGACAGGATTGATGCCATGACTCAAAATGGGACCATGCCTTCAGATCTCCATCTACTCCACCCAGGTAATAAGGACACTTGGAGCCTTTGTGCCCCATTTGTGACTGATAATTCAGGGACCTAAAGGTGAGCCCTACTCCTAATTCGATGTTCCAGGCTCTTATCTGTTGGCAGCATGGTAGGAATTTAATTTTCATTGAGTATGCGGTTGATCTCTAGTGCTGGATTTGTGTGTGTGTGTGTGTGTGTGTGTGTGTGTATTGTGTGTGTGTGTGTGTATGTGTGTAGGGAGTGACTTGGTAATCTCTGTAAATGAATTAAATGATTTGCAGATATTGTGTCTCTGTTAGTTTAGAAAGATGTCAGAAAATTTGGTCTGTTATTTTTATTTATCCAGTTTTTCTCTATTTTGAACTCAAATCAATAAAGAATTTTGACCCAGTGGAAAGAAAAGAGCCCCCCATCCACTTTTTTTTTTTTTAAGAAACAAGTAAGTTATGTATTTCTGTATTATGCCTGATCTATGGCCGAGGTTTTAGAATTAAAATGATAAGTTCTCTAGATCTGTATGTATATTTGTTTGTGGGTATGTAATATTTTCCTGCCTCCAGATGGTATTACTAAATTAGATTATAAAATTTTTAAAGGCTCTATTTTCTGATTGACTTAGAGCTAAATAAGGTCTGATGTAAATAAAATACTCAAAAATTTGTGGAAATTAAGATAATTGCATTTCTGCTTTCAATACTCTTATAGATAGTTGCTCAAATATTCTAAGAATTTACATTCACATAATTTTGGTACATTTTGTCAAATGAGATTAGCTTTATATTGTTGGTTTAATTAAAACAGCTGTGTCTTCTGAGTTCTTGGTATTATATACTGCACAAGCATACATTTTAATTTACTTGGGCATGTTCTTCCTCCACTTATACAGGTTTCTTGGTTTAACCATCTATCATTTTAGTTACTATATGTTTATAATTATAAAAATATAAATTTGCACTTAGTTAAATTGAATCACTGTTTTGACAAATGTTAATTCAAAAGAAACTAATTACATTTTATAGTGTGACAGCTTGGCTGAAGACCAAGATCTTTTGATAACATGGAACTTTAGACTGATGCTAAATATGGTGAATTAATGGGTATTTATTAGATACCTAGATTATCTTACTAGAATAAAATACTACACATCCATTACTAAGTATAATTTTCTTCTTACAGACTTTTTGCCTCTTTTTTTTATATAATACAGAGAGTCTATATATTTGGGTGTGTTAATAAACATGTTTAATTTTTGCTTCAGTGAGTTGTATTATAGGGATATTTATTACTGCAAGAATTATAAGATGTATATTCATAAACCCTTCTAGTCTGCTATAAAATAGTGTGTATAAAAGATAGTTTACAATTATCCACTGAAAAAGACTTTTCCCTTGACCAAACTTGAGTCAGGCTCCTTGGAGCATTCTTCCTAAGCAGACTTTGACCTTGGCCTGCCCAGCCCAGTTTTAGCAAAGACTCCTGCTTAGCCAATTTATCAAGAATGTACTAATGCTTGATATTGGACTACTCAGTATTTGATCAAGTTTCTCACCTCCACTCTTGATATCTTAGTTCTTGGCCTGCCTGTCAAAAGTAGTTTTATTATTAATAATGTTATTAATTCGTAGTTTTAATATTAAAAATAATTAAGCCAGTTTAGAAAGAATCCCTCTACCTTTGGTATCTAGTTAAGTTCTTAGTAATTTTCCATCCACTTACCACCTTGCTCTATTCCTTGGCTACAAATCCATAGCTGTCTTTGCTGTATTAGAAGTTGAGCTCAATTCCATACGGAAACCTCTCTCCCTTATTGCAGCAGTTTGAATAAGATCTATCTGGCTGTTTTAATACATATCTAGTGAGTAACTTTTCTTTTATACCATCTCCAAGGTTTCTCTATGCAATAGGAGTTACTGTAGTTAAAAGTTATAATCAATATATGTGAATGAGATGAATGAGACTCTAATAGAAGTGATTAGAGGAACACTTTAAGTGCAAGGTATGAAGGATTTTTTTTGTTAAGGAAAACGAGTAATTTTTTTTCTGAAGTAAAATAAGTAGTTATCCCAGGATGAGAAACAGGAAAATATAGGGCAAAACCTTACAAAACCCTAACTAGATAGAGAAAATCTAGAAGGCTCATGGATAGGAAGTTTTATTTCTTGTAGTCATATCTGGCTGAAGTTCAATGGGTTTATTTACAAAATTTTTAATATAAGCTTTAGTATCAAATATGCAGATACAAAACTAGAATTTGTTTTATTCTCGATTAAAATATTTTTTCTTGGATTAGTATATTCTCTTAATAAGAGCTTGTAAAATATTTTTCTTCACCTTCTGAATAATCTGCTTAGAAGATAAGCATTCAGAATCTCATCAGAATCATTTCCTGTGCTTTGTTATGACTTTTTCAAGTCCTTGATCATTTAAGAGAAGAGTCTTCATATAAAAGAGATGACGTTCTTTGCAATTATGTTATCTCCTATATCTACTCTAAAAATTATTTCACGTCATTTTTGATTAAATAGATAACCAAGTACTGTTTCTCAGTAATCCATTATCCTACTTAAGTATTTAAATTTCCTGACGATGTTTTAAATTTTACCTTCTGAAAATCAAATCCTAAATGATATTTTTTTGCACTGTCAAGGAAAAAAGTGTACAAGTCTCAAGTGAGGAAAACATTACTAAGGGAGAATCTTGCAATAGAAAGATGCTCAAGATCTAAGCCAGGAAAGTCTCAGGCATGGAGTGAGCAAACACAGCCTTTATGTGCAAAGACCTTGGGAGATATGCTTATGGAAAATGGAAGGGGTCTGAGGCTATGTGTACGTGTATGTGTATGGCGGGAGTAGGGGGGACTGCGGGGAGGTGGGGGATGATGCTGAAACATACCGGGCTACATCAAATATTGGTAGCAGAGACGTTAAGGCAGGAAGATTGGTTTGTGCTTAGGCACATGGAGTGGGATTCTGAGTCTAAGACAGAGCAAACAAATTAGAATACCGGAGGAGGTTCATATAGAGTTAAGAACCTAGTAGTTTGGGCAAACCAACCTAAAGTTGTGTTAAAGACAGAGTTAAATCGCCTTATCAGTCCTCCACTCTTGTTCAAGAAAGGCTAAGAGAAAGCGTCCTTGAACAGAGAGACAAGAAGAATCTCAAGTAGGAAATGGCTGAGTAAAATAGTCCCCAGGTCAGACTTACTCAGTGTTGTTCCTGGAGGACTAGCTGAACCATCTGTGGGGCATGCTGGCAAAGGTCAGTTGTTTTAGTGCCCTTCAGATCAGGCATCTTAAAAGTGGGATGCCTAAAAGGAAAAAAGAGACATGTTAATATAAAAGGATATACTAAAGTGAGAAATACAGAAGTTAAATCCAAGGGTAACTATTCCAGAGAGTTCCAAGAGGTTAGTGGATGAACCCTTTTGATCATGCAGCATTGCTCTTTGAGCATTTTGATGGTCTTGGTAATGTGACCCAGAGTCTGGGTTACCTCTTGTATCAGAACATGCATGACCTGGGCATTTCCCCATACTTCTTTTGTGTTCCAGTCAGGCCTTGTCCAGAGGAAAAGAGAACCCATGCATAGTCTGCTAGCAATGATGGGTCTTTGCAGGTTTAAAACAAGTAATCAGACTTGAGCTTGCAGTAATTCTTCAGAGCCTGGGGGCCAGCCACAAGGCAACTTAGGGTCTGAATTGGGATCTGGATAGTAAGGTTTTCTCAGTGACTCTGAGTAAAGAGAAAAGGAGAAAAATTGGAAGGTTAGTTTAGGGATTTATAGCTAGATATTGAGGGAAATTGGAAGATTTGAAAATTTAGTAATAATTGACAATTTGTGCAAGATAGCACATTCAAGTACAATTTATTAGTAGTTACAAAAACTGGTTTTCCCATAGTGTGCGGGAAAGCCAATTAAATCTCTACCAGACAAGAGACAGTTTGCATATCGATCAGTTACCTGCAGTTTACAAAGAGGTCCTAGATAGCTCAAACAAAAATAAACAGGATCAGGATCTGATAATCCAGAAGGACGTGCTATGATTTCCCATGGAAACACAAATTTTCTTTCTACAGTTACTCCTCCCCTTTTGATCAAAGATAATCTCAAAGAAAGATTGTTTTTGGTGACTGATTAAGATTGGGCTCATGAGATTTGGCCTGGTTATTTGCATAGGTACAGCAAAAGTGGCAATCTACATATCGATTTTCTTATATTTGCTTTGCTGGAAGTTTTCATAAAGAATGTCAAGTTGAACTTTTCAAAGCCTCCTGAGGATGAGAAGCCATGCCAAAAACTCACATCGGATTTCACATGCAGTACCTATCGATTTGGCAGGCATCCCTTTTTCCTTGAGATCCCACAAATATCCTAAGTTTCCAGAACCTGCTGGGAAATGACATTCCTTGCTCACCTGCAAAGCTGTGAACCCTGCAAAGCCAGGTTTCAAGCCAGTTTTCACAAGAGGCGCTTTGGAAGCATTGGTCCCATAAGGTCAACTTGAGTTCCTTAAAAGCGTCTGGTCATATCTGATCAAATAAGCATCATTCTCAAATATGAGATCCAGGCAAAGCTTGGTTTTATTACCAATGGTTTTGTTCGTGTCCTGTTAACAAGGAGGACAGACTCTTATGGAACCTATGCAAATAACTATATTGCCATGAAGATAAGAAGACTCAATTGGAGTTTCCAAATTTTGAAAGGGGGAGTTGAGGAGAAAAATCAAGTTTCATTTCTGTTTACAAGGAATGAGCATAGTCCTTAAAATTGTTATGAGTGATAGCTTAAAAAAGAGGAGGAGGTTATTTATGTCCAGAAAATAAAACATTAAAGCCATAGCCCTATTCCAAAAAAGTCCCATAATTATCCGTCATCAGTTTATTCACTCCTCTGTAATTAGCTTTTGTCCCACCGGATTAGTAGGCTTATGAACCCATCTCTTTCTCAACTAGAGTTCTGGAATTCCTGACTCAGTTCATTGTTTTGGTCCCAAAGTTATTTAAGCAATGTAATTAGAAACTTTTACACAAGAGTACGTAGCATAATTCTTTTCCATGTATCTCCGAGTCAGTCCTTTTTCATTGAAACAAAGTCCTCTGGCCTGTAACAGATTTGCAAGTGCTTGATGGGAAGCATCGGTGAAAAACACAAAACCATCCATAGATGACAAAAGATTTAAAATTGCTGTGGTTAACATATTCTTGATAATTTTTGAAAGTAAAAGATGTGATGAAAATTGACTGAAAAATTTAATTTTTGTTATGGCACTTAAAATTGCTTCAAAAGGTTTCCCAGAAAATATGTGTAAACATAATAATTAATTTTATTTTAAAAAAAAAGGTGGATATTACATCAAATTTATGAAAGTGAATGGACTTCATTTTTATAGAGAAAAAATTTTCAGATATAACATGATTGGACGGGCATGGCAGCTCACACCTGTAATCCCAGCACTTTGGGAGGCTGAGGCAGGCAGTTGGAGACCAGCCTGACCAACATGGTGAAACCCTGTCTCTACTAAAAATACAAAATTTAGCTGGGTATGGTGGCAGACATCTGTAGTCCCAGCTACTTGGGAGGCTGAGGCAGGAGAATCCCTTGAACCCGGGAGGCAGAGTTTGCAGGGAGCCGAGATTGCACCAATGCAGTCCAGCCTGGGCAACAGAGTGAGAATCCATCTCAAAATAAATAAATAAATAAATAAGAGATATAACATGATTATCATGAGACATTATATGTCATGAATATATCAAATATATAGTTAGAATATACCAAGAATATATTTCAATTATCAAGCAAAGAGATTCAGTATATTTGTATAAGTTTAGGAAAAATATACTGAAGTAGAACAAAAATGTATTCTTACAATGTGGACAACTCAGAAGACATAGCTATGTTTATCAAATCAATTATATCAAGCACTCTCAATGGCCAAAGGTTTATCTAAATTAGATGAACTTGAATTTTTTTAACATTTTGTTAAGCTTTTATAAAAGTTCTTTTTTCACATTGATAATACTAGAAATTTGATTTTCCTAATTTCAGGGAAGTTCAAGAATATTTAACTTATGTAGGGTCTCATTCATCTCTAAGCAAATCCAAAAGGAGCTTATTTAAAGGATTTTATAATTTAATGTGGTAATACCATCTAGAGGGAAGAAAATATTACACAAAAGGCATGTGCACATGCACAAACACACATACATTAACATATAGACAGACATAACGAACTTACAGCTTTAATTTTTAAATTTTAGTCATGACTTAGGCATAATCACAGAAATACAAAACTCATTGGTTCATATAAAAAAACATTACCATCATTGCTTCACCTTTACATTTTTACAAGGGCAATATTTTTGGTAGATGGGGCAAGTTGAGGTAATCTGTTCAATATGAGAACTGAGGCATCTTCACCAATATTTGAGTAGGAGACCCATAAGCTGCCCTTGGCTCTGGTGTATAATTCTAGGGAAGCCGTAGACTCAATTTCGGAGAGGGGGGGCATGGAGGAGAGACCATCTGGTGTCTCCAAAGCTCACCTCAGTGGATAAAACGTTCAGCCTGTTTCCAGGGAGCATTTTCAGCCTCAGGCTGTTGCTGTCAGTGCCCCTGAGCTCCTCTAGAGCCTCCCACAAAGGGACAGGGCTTAAACCTCAAGGGATTATAAGGAATTGAGGGGCCAGAGTGGGAGAGGAAAGACCTGGCAGGCGTGGACAGAAAGGTGGAGGATACAGAGGATTTGAAAGAGGGAGATCCAAGGATTAAAGGGAGCTGAAGGGAACATGGAAGATGGTAGAAAAGAGAGATGGGGGGTAGGTGCTGAGAGGACATAGGTCTCAGAAAGTGTTGGGGAAGGAAGATTGTCTTTGAAAGAAGTAACGGTCACTGAAAAGTTTTTGAGACAAAGCATTTCTTTTCTGTGTCTTTGTACGAAATTCCCACCACCACCAACAAAGCATCTATTGCGTGAATGAGATCTTGGTGGCACAGGATTCAATAGCCCTTTACAGAAGGAAACAATTTGGAAAAATTCTTTATTCCTCAAAGAGGCCACTGAAATTGAAGTTTAAAAATATTGCCCTCACCGCCAACTTTTTTTTTTTTTTTAAGAAAGTGGCTGGAATTATTACTATAATGACACAGAGCATATCCCACTGTTGAGGGGTCTGGAGGACAACAGCCAAATTGATGGTTATCTCATGATAATGGAAAGAACACCTGCCAGTGCTAGAGACCTTGGGCCTTTAACTCAGGTATGATTATCAGGAGAGAATTAGGGGCTTTCACCACTCTCAAAAAAGGCAGGAGGAAAAGATAGAAAAACAGGAGGGAATGACAAAAATGAGAGAACTACAGGTCAACTTCTTACTGTGCTAAACAGACAGATGTCTGCAACACTGGATTAGAAGTCATGGCTTACCACTGTGGATTCTGATTTCCCCAGCCAAGGAAAGGCACGAGGAGTCCACTAAGGCTGCACTGGGTGAGGAAAGCAGGAGCCACAGGCAGTTGGCATTTTGTCCAAGTCATGGCATCGTTACTGTCGAAGAAAAGAAGTTTAATCTGGACATTCATCCAGAAAAACTTTCTTAACAAGAGGAGTATCACAATAGGAGTGGGGCAGTATCATCACAGAAAGATGCTCAAATCCTAATTCAGAGAAGGGATGAGTGAGCAATGATTTTAAAGCACCTGTGGAAAGTTGAGGTGTAAAAATCTGGGGGTGGGAGGGAGTTCTTAAAACTTAACAAACGTCCCCAAACGCTGTATGAATTGAGACAGGATATGTTGGTTTGTGGTCAGACACAAGGGGTAGGCTCTGCACCCAAAATGGGGCAGACAAGCTAAAGTGAGAAATTCAGATAAAGCAGAGGCCGGTTAGCCCTCTGTAAAACAGTAAAAAGTTGTTTTGGCTACTAGTCAAGCACAGTCCTCTCAGCCTCCCCAGTGCCCAAAATGGCCTTTGAGATTTCCCAGGGGACCTCTGGAAAGTCTCAAAGATGTGTTCTTTCACCATGGGAAAAGACAAGAGTTGGAACTAGTTAAGGTTATTTGTTTAATATGTTATCATTGACAAGATGTCTGGGAAGCATTGTCAAATCAGAAGAGATGCTCAGATTTGCATAGGTTTAATTTGTCCGGGGAAAATGTTATAAACATTTTTAAATGTGTATTCTACGTAAGAAGTTTCTGGAGAATTGTGAATGTGTTTTTTTCTTTACACTTTTAAGATTACAGTGTTAAATGTTTATCAAGTTACATTTCTACAGCTAGCAGGATAACAGATGTGTCACTGGCACTTGGACCTCATCCTAGGGAATGTTTACTGGGAATTCCCAATTACATCACAAGCCAAATGACTTCCAGCATTTCCCATCTTTGTACTTTCTTCATGTTCATCTTTGCCCAAGTCATTTGGTTTTTCATGGACCACCATTGTGGAATGTCCTCCTGAGAGTGAGATCGTAGAATCTTTGATAGACACATCCGTTGCACCATCTTTGCCAGCAGTCACATTGTCCAGGTCTCCAACATCCCTCTCTTGATCCTTCAGCCCATGTGCTTTTAGGATAGAGGATTAGAGTGAGGACCTGCACTGGGACCTCCTCATATATTATTTACAAACTGATGAAAATGGAATCTGCTGGTCTTCAGCCAATCCTGTAATGTGTACCACCACCACAGATAGTCCATTTTCCTTCTGCTTGATATGGAGAATTCTCTGTACCAGGCCTTCACCCCTCAACATGCACACAGCTTTCATCCCCCTGACTGATGGGGCCATGCTCCTGTCTGGATTCTGAGGATTTCCAGAGATACTATAGGAGATGACAACGTGAACCCCAGAATTGTTAATGTTTTCACTGTTCATTATATATTTCTATTTATCGGAGTCCTGGTATTGCTTTGCTTGATGTTAGATAAAGGCAGTATAGTGTTATCCATCATAATTTGTTATATTTTAAAACTTTAACTTGTTTGCATCTTTACTTCTTTTATTTGGAACCAGTATATTCTAGGTCTGGAGTTTTCTGTTGGGGATTCACATCACTTATCTATGCATTTTTATTAATACTCTCGTGTTTATAATCTACAGATTTAATGATTCTATTTGATAACTTTGATAAATTCTAATGGCATGCTAGGTATATGTGGCATCTAATGGCTCAAGATTTTTGTGTTATACATGAAAATGTTTTCTTTTTAAGGTTATATACAAGCATTTTATAAATTAAGTGTTATATAGCCTCTTTGAAAATATTGCCAATACATTGCATTTATAGATATTTTGTCTAAAATGTTTTTTGGATTGAATTTATTTTGTTTTGTATAACAGAAACAACCAAATGTGTTTGTCAATTGCATTATTCCTATCCTGAACTCTACTCAGATTATTCACTTTTGAAAATTATCAATAATATGTAAATGATAGCCATTTTTAGACTTTTGTCATCTACAGATCGTTTTGTTTGTTCTGTTTTACACTGATGCTTCCATAAAATCATTGCAATCAATTATAGGCTAAGGTTTTCTATCTTCAGCAAAAAAAGAACAATATTAGAATCTGGTAGGAAAGGATCATGCCATATACTCTGGGGAACAGATTTCTGATGACATTGTTTAAATGACTATGAAATCATACCATGGACTGAGTCAGGATTACAGATGTTTAGTTGAGAAGCAGATGCATTAATAAAACAAGTAACACAAGATCAAGTGGAAGAAGAGTTAATTTTATAAAACTGAATGAGCAAATGATTATGATTTTTATTTGAAATAGTGTTCATGTTTTATTGCTCTATTTTCAGGAAATAAGAATTTCTTTTCTTTTTCTCTTAAGCTAACACTCAAACAATTTTATAGACTATGCTCATTACTTGTAGACAGAAATGAAACCTGTATTTTTTTTCTCCCTGACTCCCCCTTTCAAAATTTAGAAACTCCAATTGAGTCTTCTTATCTTCATGACAATATAGTTATTTGCATAGGTTCCATAAGAGTCTGTCCTCCTTGTTAACAGGACACAAACAAACCATTGGTAATAAAACCAAAGCTTTGCCTGGATCTTATATTTGAGAATGATGCTTATTTGATCAGATATAGATGCTTTAAGGAACTCAAGTTGGCCTTATGGGACCAATGCTTCCAAAGTGCCTCTTGTGAAAACTGGCTTGAAACCTGGCTTTGCAGGGTTCACAGCTTTGCAGGTGAGCAAGGAATGTCATTTCCCAGCAGGTTCTGGAAACTTAGGATATTTGTGGGATCTCAAGGAAAAAGGAATGCCTGCCAAATCGATAGGTACTGCATGTGAAATCCGATGTGAGTTTTTGACTTGGCTTCTCATCCTCAAGAGGCTTTGAAAAGTTCAACTTGACATTCTTTATGAAAACTTCCAGCAAAGCAAATATAAGAAAATCGATATGTAGATTGCCACTTTTACTGTACCTATGCAAATAACAAGCCAAATCTCATGAGATTAGCCTTAATTAGTGATCAAGAATAATCTTTCTTTGAGATTATCTTTGATCAAAAGGGGAGAAGTAACTGTAGAAAGAAAATTTGTGTTTCTGTGGGAAATTATGGCACATCCTTCTGGATTAGCAGATTCTGATTCTGTTTATTTTTGTTTGAGCTGTATAATGCCTCTTTGTAAACTGCAGGTAACTGATAGATATGCAAACTTTGTAGATAAGCTTTCTCTCTCATTGTGGAAACTCTAGTTTGGCATTTACCTTGCATAGATTGTTAACCTTGCACTGACTGTCAACCTTTACCAGATTTTCAATTATTCCCGTTTCCTTCAGCATCTGGCTACAAACTAACAGCCTTGAAAAGAATGATTCCATTTTTATTTCTACCTCTTGACTTGTAGTCACCGGGAACTAAAATCTGCCTAGATTCTTATTGACGTTCTAGGTTGCCCTGTTGCTGGTCTTTACCCCCTAGGATTTGAAGAATCACTGCAAGTTCAAGTCTGAGGATTTGTTATAAGCCTAGAAGAACTTATTATCATTCCAGCTAACCATTCATGTTCCAACTATCTCTATGGATAAGCCACTCTTTGGACTACTCAGAAAGTTTGGTAAAATGCTGAGGTCATGCACGCCTTTATTGGATAAGTGACCAATGCTGTGGATGACATTACCAATATGATCAACATCTTCAAAAACTCAGTGAATGGTGGGAGAGTGAATATACAAACAGAAAATTGCCAAGCCATATATAAAAATACAACTTTGACCTCAACTTCTGTAGCAACCAGCCTGAAGCCCAACCACAACCTCTTCAACATCAGTAAGGACCTAGTAAATAATTGCCAGATTCCATAATTTTTGCTTGTATGTCTAACTTAGAACCAACCATGGGAAGCCAAATACGCACTCCTAACACATCACATAGTATGATCCACTTCTAATTAGCCTGTTTCTACTTTCCCCATGCCAACAGCCTCCAATTAGGCATACCTAATGCCTTCCCTTTTTCTACTGTACAGCTGTCCCATCACTCTACTTGCATTTGAGTCTCTGCCAAACATAATTGGTGATTGGTGACTCTTTTGTTTAGCAAGCTCTGAATAAATAACATTTGTTTGTTCTCATTTGAGTGATTTTTATTTATTTCCACAGTTTTCTTGGAAATTCCTTCAAGAAGATCTGCTCTGCCTATCACCACAGACTCTAGCCTTCAGCTGGGGCAGAACCCCCTGTGCCTTACTATTTGCCGCTTGTCAAGTCCACAATGATGTTGGCAAGTCAGCTCCAGGTCTGAAATCTACTCTCTTTGTGGTGAGTTCTTTGGCTATTTATTATGTGTCTGATACCCTGGTTTTGTTATCCCTTACCATTTGTTTGGCATTTTTGGCAAAACCAAGCCCTTCTTTTCATCCTTTTTTTTGTTATGTGTTCATTTGTGTTACTCTTTTGTGTTGCACTCTCTAAAAGTGTAGTTTGTTATAAGGAGAATCACAGGGTAGAACACTGGCATGGGCCTTTTAAGACTATTGTTAGTGCCAGCCTCAGATACCAGTGAATTTTAGTTCCTAACTCAACTACCATCTTTTAATCAATTCTGCCTAACACCATTAGCTTCACTGTCACAGATCTTTGCTTGGCCTTTCTTGAGTGTGTCTGTAGAGCAGAATACACCCTTTTGCCTTCCTCTGGGGAAAACAGCAATATACCTGGACATCCATGCCTCAGAGGTTCACTGAAACCTCCTTCTATTTTTCCCAGGCCTTTAATTAAAATTTACATGATTCACGAATTTCTTTTGTGGTTCTGTTCTGATACAATATGTAGATGATCTCTTACTTTGTTCAGTAAACAAGGAAGGTTTACTGAACAAAGGTTCCCACTTACTTGGTCTCAGCCCTAGAAGAAAAAGAACATAGTATTTCAAAGACGTATTATAAATTTTCCAGAACACAGCCCATTATTTGGGGCATGACCCATTTAAGGAGGAAAAAACATTCTCTCCTTTTAGATTAAAGACTATTAAAACTATTTCTGGACCCTTTTCAAGGTGGCAACAGAGAGATCTTCTAGATATGACTAAATACTGCAGACAATGGGGACCAACTTTTTTCTGTGATTGCAATATCTCTTTATAAACTGGCTAAGTCCCAAGTAAAAGATCCTCTGATCTGGGAACTCAAACATGAGCAGGTCTTCTGTAATCTGAAGAAGACTCTTCAATAGCTTCCTTTCTTAGTCATCCCTAACTATTATACAAAAATCTACCCCATTAATTTTTACATGAGTGTTCTGGACATGCCCTTAGGGCTTTAGCTCTGTTTCACGGGATTCATGAAAACCCTATTGCTCACCACAGCCTCAATTTTGACTCAGTTGTGATGGCTTATCCTTCTTGACCTAGGACAACAGGTGCAGCTATGAAACTTTGCAGTGTTTGTGCTGAACTAGTTCTAGGCTCTCTGCTTGACCTCACGGTTCCTCATGCAGCACATACATTACTATCGACTGAGTATACATAACACATTTTGCCAACTTACTCACATCTAATACTCTATCTTCCTCTCACATTACTATTTATCTCTGCAACATGCTGAGTCCTATCACTCTCCTGCCCCACCTGAAGTAAGTGCAGCATCGTGACTGTCTAATTTTAGTTAGGGAACTTTATTTGCCTCACTCAGATATATTAGAGAACCCACTGGGAAACCTGGTCTAATATTTGTTGATGAATCATATCTCAAAACTGAAACCAACTAGAAGTCAGCCAGTAAACAGGATGTGCCATCAATAAATTAAGAAGATAGGCTTTTAGAATGTAGTCCTCTACTAGAATTAAAATCACCCAGATTGCAGAACTTCTTGCACTTACTAGTGTTTGTCAGCTAGCTAAATTCCAGACAGAAAGTAAATAGATGGATAGGTGGATAGATAGCAGATATGCTTTTGGAGTAGTACATGACTTTGGTATGCTTTCAAGACAAGGGGGCTTCTTATGTCTGTTGGCACCCTTCTAAAAATGGACAATAAGTAAAATAACTTTTAGATGCACTCCTACTACCTATAGAGATGACTATAAATTTTGGAGTTTATGGGAAGAGACATGACTTAAAGGAAATACTCAAGCAGATCATTTTGCTCACCAAGCTAAACTCTCAAAGGATAAATCTCTGGTAAACTGTGAAAAGGAAGAGTGGAAAAATTCTGGTTCTACTCTTCATTGATATAATCTCTGGAAGGCTCAAGGTGGTTGCTTATGGCACCAGATCATTTCAAGTGGATATTAACTAAATTTCTTCATGAAACTACTCATCATGGAATAGAAAAATGGGTTAGTATTTTTAATCACCATTAGTAAGAAAACTTTAAAAACAAGCTGAGGTTATTTTTAGGTTATCTGCCACCTGTCAGCCACATAATCCTGGAAAAAATTGTAAAGAGTAATCATGGTCAGGACCCAGTGTCTCACTTTGAATATCTTCAGGTGAATTTTATCCAGCTTACAATCTCTGTGGGATTTAAATTTGTTTTAGTTATTGTATATCTATTTTCAGGAGGGGCTATAGCATGTCCTTGCTGAAAAGCTATAACTCTCACAGACATCAAAAAAGCTGCTTGATTTTGTATTTTCAACCTGGGATGTCCCAAATTTTATATCGAGCAATTGGGCACTCCCTTAACAAAAACCATTATAAAAGAACTCAGTAAAACACCAAATCAAAATCACAATGAGATAACATTTCATGACAGCCAGAATGGTGATTATTAAAACATCAAGAAACAGCAGATGCTGGTGAAGCTGTGGAGAAATAGGAACACTATTACATTGTTGGTGGGAACGTAAATTAGTTCTTTCATTGTGGAAGACAGTGTGGTGATTCCTCAAGGATCTAGAACCAGAAATGCTATTTGACCTGGCAATCCCATTACTGAGTACATATCCAAAGGAACACAAATCATTCTACTATAAAGGCACATGCACACATATGTTTATTGCAGCACTATTTTACAATAACAAACACATGAAACCAACCCAAATGCCCATTAATGATAGGATGGATAAAGAAAACATGGTACATATACACTATGGAATACTGTGTAGCCATAAAAAGGAATGAGATCATGTCCTTTGCAGGGACATAGATGAAGCTGGAAGCCATCATCCTCAGCAAACTAACCCGGTAACAGAAAACCAAACAACACATATTCTCACTCAAAAGTGGGAGTTGAACAATGAGAATACATGGACACAGCGGGGGAAACAACACACACTAGGGCCAGTTGGAGGTCAGGGAGTTAGGGGAGGGAAAGCATTAGGACAAATAGCTAATGCATGTGGGGCTTAAAACCTAGATGATGCATTGATAGGTGAAGCAAACTACCATGGCACACGTTTACCTATGTAACAAACCTGCACGTTCTACACTTGTATCCCAGAATTTAAGACAAAAATTTTTTAATAAAGTTGCATTGTCATTTTTGCCACATAATATTAACCAAAGCAAGCTACAAAGCTAGCCCAGATTAAAGAGAATGGAGAGAGAACTCCAAGACTGATAAGATGAATGGCAAAGTCACATTGAAGTATAGCAGTGTCTACTGGAATAGGAAGACTAAGGAAATTTTAAAATGTCTAATATAATCTTATAAGGAATTTGAATTTTATCTTTTAGTGATTGAGGCATCTCTAAAAGATATTAAACAGGGGAGTTATATGGTTAAGTTTATATTTTAGAAAGGTAACTAAGAAGGTAGTATGGAAGATAAACTGAAGAGAGAAAAGGTTTAAGTTAGGCAAAATTTATTTAAAAGAGTAATAAAATAGTCTAGGGATAGAGTTAGGGATGACAGAGGCTTGAACAAAGATTGAAGAGATAACTTATAGATTTTTCAATCTGAGTCAGTGTCTAGCAGGTTTCAAAATTATATGTAACATGATAACTCACTATAGTATGACTCTGTAATAAACTATGTATCACATTTTGATAAGACATATGTGATATAAATATTTATCAAGCGAAAGTAAGGGAATCATAATCATAAGCATAGGATTTGGCTGGAATAATGATTGCCTTAGGCAAAAATTGTAAGCTACTTTAAAGTTCTGCATTTTCTATATTGTTGTGGGCTCATACTTACTAATTATATTGCCAAAAGAAACAGAGAGAGAAAGAAGAAAGATAATTGTAGACCAAAGATAAACACATAGCATGCAGCAAGGCTTGCTCTGAATCTCTGATCCGTGAATGGAAATGATAATGGCAGTCTGTTGTGTGAATATCTGGTGAGATGGATTTGTACTCAGCATTTCACAAACTTGCTTGCTTTTGAATCATTTGTCCACAGATACACTTTGGGTAGTACTGAAGAACTTAGCATTTCATTGACAGATAAGGACAGTTAACTTAGGAGACATAAAACAAACATCCTTCTTTCTGATTCCATACTTAATTTTTTCTTCTTTTGTTTGCTTTAGTGGCTTTAAAAATAATTTTATCAATTAGTAAGAATTCAATAACATTTAATAAGGACTGAATATTTTACAAGGTCCTTAATACTATTAATAAAAAATCATAAAAGCCATATTTTAGCATCTGAAGATGAGCTGCCCAACATGGTGGCTATAAGATGCCCAGGGATATTAAACACGTGAAATGTGGATAACGTAACCAAGAAACTAAATTTTAATTTTAATTTTAATTATTTTCCATTAAATATAACTTTATTGCCTTGGTAGAAGCATATTTCACTTAAACTATTGTAAACTTAGCATCCAATTTGTGATGTGTGATAAGCATAGAAAACTCACTGGATTTGAAGACAATATGAAAAAATAGTAAAATATCTCATTAACAATTTTTATATTTATTACATGCAGAAGTGATAATTTTTGATATATTAGAACAAATAAAATATTAAAGCTAATCTCATCTGTTCTTACTATTTTTAATATGGCTGCCAGACAATTTAAAGTTCTATATTTGGCTCACATTTATTTCTATTTGACAATACTACTCTAAAATAATTTTATTTCTTTGTTAAAGTGCAAAGCCCAAACTTTGAAACACTGTACCTGTTGTGTGAGCATCAGAAAGAAGAGAATCATCTATGGCTTTCTCACTTTTAAATTGTTATTGGCCATTGACTCTTCCCAACACGTGTGGTCACAGCCTTGGAATGTAACGACTGTTCACACCAATGCAAGTGAAGCTAAGGTATGGGAAGCCAAAAAGGTGCCCTTTCTTTGTGACAGTATAATCCAGGTAGATCAGACTCTTGACCGATCAGAGGCCTCTGCTTGACTTATTTCAATCTTGAAACTACTTATCGCTTGCTTTATTAAAAAGTGATGGAGATTATGCAGTAAGGAAACTTTATCAGCTCCTAGAGCAGAGCATTCTCCTCTAGGGCCACAAAAATGCTTGTGTATATAGGCCAATTATGAGAAAAACATGAAGGATAGAAGGGAAGAATATAACTGAAAAAATGAGAGAGCTCAAAAAGCAGCCCAACCCTTCATACGGGTATAATTTGTCTGCAGCTCAGCCTGTTCAGAGAGGAGCTCAGAGCCCTCAAAGACTTGAAGGAGTGACAGGAGAAATAGTCATTTCTAGCTAGAATATGGCTGAACAAAAAAGCAGATTTTTGGAGGGAAAGAAGATCCATTCCACCTGGACCAGTGAAAAGAGGAAGTGAGAATGTGTAAACAGATTCAGGAATCCTACATGCTAGTCTCAGCTCTGTAACCTTGGAGAAGTGCATTTCCCATTGGAGCCTTAGTTTCCTTACCCCTAAGATGACATTGGACGATATAAGCAATCTATTCATTTAGGAAGCAATCTGCTTCCTAAATGACTAGGGGTCCTCAGTCTTTGCAAATATATTCTGAATGGCCACTGGTTAAAATATAGGAGTTAGGCTCCAACACCTCCATTTCCCAACACTGACTCTGGACAAGTCATGTGACCTTTCTTAAGCTTGATTTTCTCAGTTAGAAGAAGAGCCTCACAATACCTACCAACTCGAGTCATTATAAAGACTAAACAAATTCACATCTGTAAAGTACTTAATACAATGACTTTCACCAGCAAGTTGCTCACTAAAAGTAAACATTATGTTCTTTTACATTTCCTTTTTTATTTATTTTTATTTTTCCATAAGTTTTTGGGGTACAGGTGGTATTTGGTTAAATGAGTAAGTTCTTTAGTGGTGATGTGTGAGATTTTGTTGCACCCATCACCCAACCAGTATGCCCTGTACCCTATTTGTAATCTTTCATCCCTCACTCCTCTCCTATCCTTCCCGCCAAGTCCCCAAAGTCCATCGTATCATCCTTAAGCTTTTGCATCCTCATAGCTTAGCTCCCACATATTAGTGAGAACAGATGTTTGGTTTTCAATTCTTGAGTTACTTCATTTAGAATAATAGTCATCAATCTCAGCCAGCTCGCTGCAAATGCCATTAATTCATTCCTTTTTTATGCTGAGTAGTATTCCATGGCATTTATATACCACAGTTTCTTCATCTAATCATTGATTGATGGATATTTATGCTGGTTCCACAATTTTGCAATTGAGAATTGTGCTGCTATAAACATGCATGTGCAAGTATCTTTTTCAAATAACGACTTCTTTTCCTTCGGGTAGATACCCAGTAGTGGTATTGCTGGATCAAATAGTAGTTCTACTTTTAGCTCTTTAAGGAATCTCCATGCTGGTTTTCATAGTGGCTGTACTAGCTTACATTCCCACCAGCAGTGTAGAAGTGTTCCCTCATCATCATGTGATCATGCCAACATCTACTGTTTTTTAATTTTTTTGATTAAGGTCATTCTTTCAGGAGTAAGGTAGTATCGCATTGTGGTTTTGATTTGCATTTCCCTGATTATTAGTAATGTTGAGCACGTTGTCATGTTTGTTGGCCATTTGTATATCTTCTCTTGAGAATTGTCTATTCACGTCCTTGGCCCACTTTTTGATGGGATTGTTAGGTTTTTTCTTACTGATTTGAGTTGGTTGTAGATTTTTTCTCTTGTCTGATTGTTCCGGCTAGGACTTCCAGTACTGTGTTGAAGAGGAGGGGTGAGAGTGGGCATCCTTGTCTTGTTCCAGTACTTATAGGGAATGCTTTCAACTTTACCCCATGCAGTATTATGCTGGCTGTATGTTTGTCATAGATAGCTTTTATGACACTGAGGTATGTCCCTTTCATGCCAGTTTTGCTGAGAAAAGATAAAATTGATAGACCATTAGCAAGACTAACCAAGAAAAGAAGAGAGGAAATCCAAATAGCCTTTTACATTTTCTGTTTTATCTTATCAAGCCAGAGTTCCAGGGAAATCAATAAAGAGCACGTGGAAATTATATTTAGTTGATTTTACATGTTTGCTTAATTTCTCTCTAGACTTTCGTGGCCCTATTTTTCCCTCATGCTTACAAAAACCTTCACAATCATCAGAGTTAAATAGCATTCATTTTTTCACCCTTAGAATCTGTAATATTTCATATGAATAGTGGAATTATCCCTGAGAGCTTTCCAAAGCATTTTTAGCACAAATCTTTATTTATTAAAGGGTAAAATACACCTCCTGTAAGAATACATTATTTCATTTGGAGAATACAACAGCAATAATTGTTTTATTCACTTGTAACAATTTCACCATCCAAAAACCTACTCACAAAGGCATCTTTCAGTCTGGAAGTCCTACTGTGAGACAGCTTGTTTGCACATTTTGAGAGGAGGGGCACAAGAAGGGAGTGGGCATTTATTGTGATAAGCTCTGTGCTATGCTTTTAAAATTAATTTTAATAGTCACATAGCATTTTAAATACATAAATGTCTTTTCATCCTTTGAAAATCGATTGTAGGAATATCTGGGTGCATGAAGGTCCTTCAGCTGCTTGTTAAATGCACAGATATTTATTTTGTACCTTTTTGTATGTCTAGAATATTTCAGAATGTCTTTTGATTTGGCAACAGTATCTGCTGCATGACCTCAGTCTTGGAAAGAACTATTTCCCTGCTTGGTGCTACATGCAACCCATCTTGTGCCTTATTTCAGTTTTTCACACATATTTATGTTGAGTGATAAACACTAAATTGGTTGCAGTTTTAAACAATTTTTTTCATTGCTCTTGCCCCAAAGATAGGATTCCCAAGTCAATCAAAGTGAAGAAGGAAAGCAAGTTTTGTGAGTGCAGAAATAAAAACAACTTATCAGTAAATCTTTAGATCAATAGTCTATGCCATGCTTCTTGCTTTTATGAGAAAAGGAAGAACTAAGAAAGAAACACCCTTGGCTTTTTTTGCCTCTAAGTGCTCTTTTTCCTCTTGCCTCCTTTTTTCCCTCCTGTAAACAGAAACGTTGTTTCCCTTTTCACTTTCAATTTCTTGACTGAATTCCTTACTTTCCTTTCCAATCATTTAAAATTGCCTTGAAATGGGATAGTCTAGTTTTCAATGATTGAACAGAAGGATTGTAATCAATCCACAAGTGCTGAGAGCTGAAAGATACCTCCGAGATCACCCATAGGGTTGTTCTCAAACTTCATCATGAGTCAGTATTATCCTGAGAGGTTGTTACATTGTTGAGTCCCATGCCCAGAGTTTCTGATTAAGTAGGCTGGACAGGAGACCTGATAATTTGCATTTCTAGTACTTTCCTAGATGAGACTGAGGCTGCTAGATGTGCTTGGAGAACTTCTGATCAGTGAGTCAGGAGATCGGTGCTCTTTTCTTTTATTGAAGAAATGCTTACAAATCACTTTCAATGGGTCAGATAATAAAGTCATTTAATTATCATAGCCGTGCTGTAATTTCACACCATCCTTATTCCCATTTTATTGTTGAGGAAACTGAGAAAGAGAGAGAATTTGCTCAAGGTCACAAGGCAAGTGAGCAGCAGAGCTTTGGTTTAAATGTAGCAGGCAACCTCCAAATTTGAGCTGTCACCCCTGTGCTTTGCCGCCTTTGAGTTTCAATAGCACAAACAGGATGAGTGTGGGAGGGTGGGGAGAGGACAGAAAAGGGAGTAATTCATTGAAATTTGGGGATCCTAAGAAAGTGTTAGAAAAGAATTTGAGGGTGTTGAAAGCATTTTCACTAGGTCGTAAAGAAAACATAAATTTTGACATGCTGAGACATCAGGAAGAATATTCCAGACTTTGGAAGAAAATCAATAAATTACAATAAAACAAAATGAAGAAAAGTGCCTGATATATTATGAGAATGAGGAGTCTGGCTTGATTGAGCCATACTTTGCCTAGATATGTTGAGTGAGAAATGAAGCTAGAACATATTGGGATGTGAAAGGAAAATATCTTGAGCCCCCAAAATCACTAAGCTAAAAGGAAAATTCAAGCTGGGAACTGCTTAGGGCAAACCTGCCTCCCTCTCTGTTCAAAGTCATCCCTCTGCTAACTGAGATAAATGTATATCTGATTGCCTCCTTTGGAAAGGCTAATCAGAAACTCACAATAATGTAACAATTTGTCTGTCATCTGTGACCTGGAAGCCCCTTCCCTGCTTCCAATTGCCCTGCTTTTGCTTCAAGTTGTCTTGACTTTCTGGACTGAACCAATGTTCATTTTACATATGTTAATTGATGTCTCACGTCTCCCTAAAATGTGTAAAACCACCGTGGACACACGTTGCCAGGACCTCCTGCCAGGTTGTGTCATGAGCGTGCATACTCAAGCCTGGCAAAATAAACCTTCTAAATTAACTGAAATCTGTCTCAAATTTTCTGGGTTCACAGGGAGAATAGATCAAAAGGGCCTTGACTGCATGCCAAGATTAATTTGAATTTTTCCTGTGATAAGAGATGGACGAAGAAGAGTCACTGATGTGTTTTAAGTATGAATGGAGCATAGCTCACTATCATTTTGGCATCGATGTGGAGAATGGATGGACAAGGGTGATATTAGTTAGAAGACTGTACAAGATTCCAGTAGAGGGATGATGGTGGCCTTGGACTCAGGTAACAAGAGAAAGAATGGAGCTGAGAGGGGTTGGGTTTCTGAATTATTAAGGAGATTGAATCTAAAATTTTTAAAGATTAATCAACTAGAAGCAGATGATACAGAAAGAAGGAAAAAGAGGTGAAACTAAGGCAGACAAACCTTTATTGTTTTGGACATTTGTTCTAGGCCCTATAACAAGCATTACTAACAAAAATGATAAATAAAATTGCAGATTTAGGGTCTGGCCAAAAGGCAAGGAAGACTCCAAGGCAGCATCAGCAATAATTCCTTCAGCTAAACCCACACTGGCAAGGTGCTGATCCAGAGTATAATTCCCCGTGCTGAAGCTTGGTTGGACAAAACAGCTTTGGATTCAGGACCATTTCCCATCAAGAAAAATGGAGTGAACTAACCACAATCAGCATGTCCCACAGAAAACAAATGCCTCTACAGCAACAGCGTTTTCAACTGGTAAATAGACCTGACATTTAGGCATCTATTGCTCCTTGTGCACTAATAAGTCTAACTTGAGGCTCAGAAATCATTAGCAGAGTGAGTGCTTTTAATGAGCTCTTGGAGAAAAATATGGCTTAAAAAATATATTACCTGCAGTTAAGCATTACCACGGATGCTCATGTTAAAATTTATGGGAAAAGTGCTTAAGGAAAGCCTGAGCCATTATAAAAGCTGGACATAATTTCTATTTTAGAAGAAAAGTTAGATCATTTTTTAAAGTGTCCACTCTAGAGTTTATTCAGACCTCATAATAGATTTTATCTCATACTCAGGTTTTTTGCTTTACCCCACCCTTACTTCCCCATGGTGGTTAAAGAGTAGCCTGGGAAGAGGCGCCGAGGCTATGGTGTGATCTGGTACATGCAACCCCTAGCTCTTTTTCTGCAAATGGTGCTGCTGGCCAAAGTGAAGAAGGGTCTCCCCAATCATTTAACAAACTAACTAGGGGCAGTCAACTCGAATGCATCCATTAAATCCATCCATCTATTTCATTATTCACTTAACAAACATTTAAATTCAACATTTATACTTACTCAACACTTACTTAGCTAGGTTAGCTATGCGATCTATTGTCCATAGCAGAACACTTGTGCGAGACAAAGGACATTATTAATAATTGCTTCTGTTTTCTATTGCTGTGGAAAAAAAACTCCAAAACTTAGTGGCTTAAAGCAGGCATTGTTAAGTGGCTTACACCTATGATTCTCTGTGTTGGCCAGGCTCGGCTTGACTGGGTGGTTCTCACTTGTGGTCTTTTGTGCGGTTGTTGGCTGGGAGTGGTGTCATGATCTGAAGACTCACCTGGACTAGACGTCCGTAATGACCCTCTCCTATGGCAGGAAGTTAGTGTTGGCTGTCCGCTGGGTGCTTAGTTGAGTTGTTGACCTAAACACCTATGTATGACCTCTTTGTGTGGCTTGGATTAACCACAGCATGGCACTGGGTTCTGAGGACGGGCATCCACACCAGCAAGCATTCTCTAAGAGGCACAGGTGAAAATTCCAAGTCTTCCCAAAAGGGATGCTTGGAACCGGCACAGTGTCACATCCACAACATTCCATTGACCAAAGGACAGCCTGGAGTCCAGGGAATGAATAGATAGATGACATGTCTTGATCACCCCAAGGACTGCCATCCAACCTCAGTCTCAGTCTCCTTTTCTGTAAAATATGGGTAATAATAATGTAGCTCTCACTGACCTGCAGTAAGAATTGAATGAAGTAATCCTGGTGAAACCTGAGGCCCTGTGCCTGGCAGACTTGTGGGTGCTGGATGAGCTCTGACTGTTTCGTGGTCTCATGTTGATTGTACCGTTCTTCCTCTTCATTGTCATTGGCCAGTTTAGGCCCTCATTATCTCTCACCTGATAGTTATAAAAGGTGTTAGACCAGACTTCCCATTTCTATTTTCTCTTCTCGTCTATCTGTCCTTCAGATGATCAGCCGTATCTCTTACTCGGCCGTGTTCCCACCATGCCTCTCCCCTCCTCTCAGGACTCCAGCATGTCCTAACATGGGTGCAAAGGACAAACTAGCTTTCCTGGCATTGGAAGCCTGTGCTCCAAACAAACTGGCCAAGCTATTCTTCCTATAAATGGGCCCTCCTCTGCTGCCTGCTTAGTTCCAGGCTGCTTTTTCTTCCAAGAATGCCCTTTCCAAGTCCTGTGTGTTAGCTCCCCATCCTTCAAGGCTTATCTAAAAGCTGACCGTATTCTCTTATTTACCTCTTCATCTCATCCATACACATTATAAGGCCCTGGAGAAATTCTATCTTGCATTATAATGACTGAAATACACAGATGCTTCAGGACTGAAGGGAAGGAAGGAGAAAAAGAGAGAGAAAATGAAGTAGAATATTTTAAAAATATTAACGACTGTTTTTTTCTAATTCTGTGATCATTTGGCTCTCTTTAATCTAAGCTGTTCATTAAGTGCTTCCAATAAAGGGTATGGCCACATTAAGATAGTTTTGAGATTCAAGATCTTAAAACTTAGTGACCAATAAATAAAAATCCAAGCCATAGGGAATAAAACTGCAATATGTGAAGACAAGAGAAAGGCTTCTATAATGAGACCAGGTAATAATTTCCTCAGGCCTTGTTGAGGGGAAGGAGGGCATAGACAATGTGCAAGGGTTAAGGGGAATGTGTGTCCCAGGTGAGGGGCCAGAACTGAGCAGATTTTCTTGGATGAGTAGAATCAGCAGCCCAAGATAGTTTAGCTTCTCTTGAGTGAGTGCTGTTCTTGTTGCATTTTGAGGGGCTACGCTGATGATGCCATCATTAGTGTCCATAGCACAGCCAGAGATTGCCCATGAACTGTCAAGAGTGGTTCCCATGTTTGCCTTAAGCCATTGCTTGGTCCTTACCTTATTTACCCTGTGGAACAACTACCCTCACTGCCCTCATCCTTCACCCACAAGAGAAAAGGTGAGTTCTGGTCATCAACAGGTGGAGGATGTATGGAAGGAAGAGTCCCTTAAACTGTGGTTTAGTCAGAGCAGAGCAGATTCAATCTGAGAAATCTCAAGCTCAAACAGGTGGTAATCTCAGGTCTAGACCATTGTTATTGTCATAAATAATAATCTATAGATTCTTAAGTAATATAAGGCCATCTCTGAAGGCACATGCAGTGTTAACCAAAATGCTGCACAAGAGATGTGTTTCTTCTCTTTCTTTTATTTATATGGGCAATCCCTTATTAATATATAGGCTGGGCATAGTGGCTCATGCCTATAATCCCAGCACTTTGGGAGGCTGAGGCAGGAGGATTGCTTGAGATCAGGAGTTTGAGACCAACCTGGGCAATATAGTAACACCTGTCTCTACAAAAAAAATTTTAAAAAATAATCACATGTTTGGTACATGCTTATAGTGTTGGCTACTCAGGAGACTGAGGCAGGAGGATCACTTGAGCCTAGGAGTTTGAGGCTACAGTGAGCCATGATCGTGCCACTTCACTCTAGCCTGGGCAACAGAGAAAGATCCTGTCTCTAATATAAATATATTTGTCTAGTGTGTGTGTGTGTGTGTGTGTACTCATGAAAATTTATGCTTTGGGTTATAATCCAATATTACTTTATTTATTTTGTTGTTGATATGGTTTCAGTTTTGGCTGTTGGGAGCTTTTTCAGTTGACTCCTGGGTCTCTTCGATACACACCCATCGTTTTTGTTTTGAGCACTTCCTTTCTTTCTGGCAATGTGCTCCCTACTCATCTTGTATTTTCTCTACCTCAATCCTAGAATGGGCCATTTCTTTAAGGTGTTCTAGTCCCCTTTATTAGAGAACATTAAAAAAAATATTGGGACCAACTGGACTTTATCTTTTGATTTAGGCAGGGGAACTCTTTCTAGAAGACTTTGCTTTATTCTCATAAGCTGACCCTGAAAATCAAGTATCTGGCTCCTGTTACCCCTGTGATGGAGGAGAGCATTCTTGGGAATAGATGTCAAGTGAACCAACCTATGAGATTTGCCTCTATTAGGAAGACAACTACTTCATGTGTAAGTTTTCAAACCAAATCACCATAAACACTGTCCCTGCTTCCTTGGGAATTTGGGAAACTGTATTATTGTAAAATTTTATGTTGCTCTTTCATCTCTATAAGTACAGACTACTAATGAACCCAGATATACACACACATGCACACACATACACATAACATGTGTCTATATATGTAGATTTTAGCCATTTATAATGATGATACTTTCTAATGTCTGTGAAGTGCTTATGATATGCAAGGGACTATGTTAAATATTTTGTAGGCATTATCAGATTTGATTTTCAAAAATCCCTATGAGATAGGCACTGTTACTACCCCCAGAGGAGGTCACTGAGGCCCAATCACATTAGTGATTTGTCTACCTAGCAAGTAGTGAAGGTGAAATTTGAATCCAAGCAAACTTTCACAAGACTCTCAGCCTCAATTTCTCTGTTATTGCCTTGATCATTTATAAGGGAAAATGCTGTATATGAGGGGATTGCATCTGCAGAATCTGCTGAAAGATACATTGTCAGATGTTCATGTAAACACGTAAGAGATGCTTTGTGCCCTACAACTATGTGATGTTCATGTTTTTAGTCTGAGTGCAGTGGGATGAGTTGTGTCCTGGTCTCCAAATTCATACGTTGAAGCCTTAACTCCCAGTATTTTAGAATGTGACTTTATTTGGAGATAGGACTTTTAAAGAGATAATTCAGTCAAAATGAGGCCTTTAGGGTGGACCCTAATGAAATTTGGCTGGTGTCTCTATAAAAAGAGAAAATGTGGACACATAAAGAGACACGAGGGGTACACAAGCACAGAGAAAACACAGGGTGAGGGCACAGCCATCTGCAAGCCAAGGAGAGAAGCCTTGGAAGAAACTAAATTCACCAGAGTTTTGATCTTGGACTTCCAGTTTCTAGAAGAGCATGAAAATAAATTTATGTTGTTTAAGCTACCTGACTATGGCATTTCATTATAATAGCCTTAGTATGCTAATATACCAATCAAGCCACAAGTGATTTCCCCTACTCAGATTCAGCCAGATGCTGTTCACATGTGAGTCATATACTCACTGTGGTTTGTTTATGAGAGCTATGAAAACTCAGGCTTAACTCCAGGAAAAGATGAGATAGCAATTCATAAACAGCATAAACTGATTGAAAAAACCAAGTACCCATTGGTTGGTAGCAGGAAAATAAGGTTATGTTCATTACAAAAATGCCTGTAAGGAGCAAAGAATATGACAAGGGAATGATATTGGAATTAGGATACATTAAAAAAATGAAAAAAAAAATAGATGTCAGGGGAATACAACTTATTTGATGTGAGGCTTTTGCTTAGGGCCTAGTAGAGCTGCTCCTGATTTTGTATTGCGAGTTTCAGGACTAACTGAGAGGAAAACCCATGGGGCACCCACATTAAGTATGTTTTGGTGGTCCATCATCACCCTGTAATGTGCTGATTAAAAGAACATGCTCCTGATTTAACAGCCTGAGTTTGAAGCCTGGCTTGACTGGACCTGTCACTTGGGGCAAGATATCCTCTCCATCCCTCAGTTTCCCATCTGTAAAACAGGGTGATAATTGTTCTCACCTTGGTGGGTTCTGTATTATGAGAGAGGATATGTTGTTAAGTGCTTGGAACAGTAGTTAATACATATTAGTTTTATTATAAATTTTACTTATAAAATATCTGAATCATTATAATTTATTTATAATAAAAATTTTATGATAAATTAACTTCCTAGGTAAATGACTCCACACTCTTTACATGAATCTCTTCAATTAGAATACGCTGAACATGACTATGTAGCCTTTGCTTCAAGATGCCACTACCATCATGAGTATCACAATCTCTAGTTTTAAATATGGAATTCGGTCCCTTCTGACCCACCAGGGCATGACCTCCAATTGCCCTTCTACCTCTACCTTTCAGCACCCCATAATCCTTAGAGTCTAAATTGTGTGGTTTTTTTTTTTTGTGGCTCCTATTTCTACACAGTCCTCTGTCATCTCCTCAGAATTTTCTATAAGCCCTCTTCTCTGCTTCAAATATTCTACTTTCTGCCTACCTTCCCCGATTGTACTTCTCTGTACTCATCACTCAAGACTCATCTCAGTATCACCTTTCCTAATCTTCTAGCCCCTGATATTCAGTATTAGCTGTTATTCAATGACATTTATGATGAGTATCATGCTTCTTTGCTTATTTTTCTGTACATATTCTCATTGGATTCTGAGCTCCATGAGCTCTTTCATTATTTCTGATCTTAAGTGCCTACCAGAAAAATTGCCATTAAATAGTCACTTTATATAGGCTTGAAATAAATGAATGGATTTAAAAGCAAATGTATGTTGAGGTTTCCCTTTGGCCTGAGCAAAAGCAAGTCAGAGTTGGACCTAATAAATTGATGGCAGTAAAGTATTTAATATGTATTATTTAAACTGAGTATCTTATTTCAATAGACATTTATTGACTGCTTAGGTGTATGCAAAGTACTGGGATCAATTTGGTCTAACAGGAAGAAAATACTGTTGTACTATTTTCCCTAACAGGAAGATTCTACCTCTCCTTACTTAATTCAAGCTCCCCTCCAAGATAAGAGAACTTGCTAATTCAATCAGTCTAGTGTTTGAATTGGATAATAGTTATTAGTGAGTCTAGTGACTGCAGTCTGGTAACATTAAAAGGGTGGAATGCACACGTGCAGATGGCACTCTTTTGACCTTTCTGTTTCTCCTTTTCATATAAGAAGCAGACACCGGCAAGGTTAATAGCTCTGAGCTGGAACCAGAGCCATACCTCACTTCTTTCCATCTCAGGACTTAAATTCAGAGGGATCCAGGGGATCCCATTTAAGCCTCAGGCTTGATCTATATTCTCTAATCTAATTTTTACCAGCTCTCTGATTTAAAGGTTAAATAAATGGTGCTATTCCATTAAATAATGTAATACTTTGTTTTTCACGTAACCTCTGTTCTTATATGTAGCCCTCTAAGAAACTGACTTTGGTTGGGGTGGGTTACAGGGTGGGGATTAGAGGTTGAAGAAACAATGAAAAAAGGAAAAATAAATCATGCAGGAGGATTCAGGCTTTTCTGGGTTTCTATCCATACCATGAAAAGAATAATGGAAAAGATATATAAATAGAGAAAATTTCACCCTTGCCTTATACAAATTACAATTTAATCTATCTTTATGAAATTTTTGTTAATGAGGAGGGCTGCTGTATTAGTTTCCTAGAGTATAATTATTCCATGGTAACAAAGTACCAAGTACCAAAAGCCGCATGGCTGAAAACAACAGACATGTATTATCTTACAGTTTATGAGGCAAGAAGTCTGAAATAAGGATATTGACAGGGTTGGTTCCTTCTGCAGGCTGTGAAGAAGTCTTTTTCATGCTTCTTTTCTAGCTTTGAAGTGAGAGATCCGCAGAACTTGTTTTCTGAGCACTGGTAATGACCTTGCTGATCAAAAACAGGATGCTGTAAAGAAACCTGCTGAAACCAGCAGATGGTGAGAAAAGTGACTTCTGGTGCCCACACTGTTCATAAATAAAGACACTCCCACCAGTGCCATGACAGTTTACAAATGCCATGGCAACATGCCTTGGCAACAACTGAGAAGTGACCTTATGTGGCTCCGGGAACACCCCACCTCTTTTCTAGAAAATTATGTATAACCCACCCTTAATTAGCATATAATCAAGAATAGATATAAATATAGCTAGCCAGCAATCAATGCCGGGGCTGCCTCTGCAGCTGTGGCTTCATTTGTGGCCACTGTTCCGGCTCCAGTGGCTGCTCCAGACAGCTACTGTGGCTGTACACTGCTGCTGCTGCTGCTGCTCCAGGCTGCTCTGCCTATGGAGCAGGCGCTTTGCTGTACGATGCTATTGTAGGTGCACTGCCAATGGGTTAGCACAGTTATGCAAGGGGCAGCCATTCTGTTATGCGCTGCTGCTTCAATAAACCTGGTTTCTTCCACCACTGGCTTGCTCTTAAATTCTTTCCTGAGTAAAGCCAAGGACCCTCCTGGGCTAAGCTAATGTTGAGGCTTGCCTACTGTACATGAGTTTCTGGTGGTTGTCAGCAATTCTTGTCATTCTTTGGCTAGTAGATGGGTTACGTCAATCTGCCTTCACTTCACATGGCAGTCTCCACATTGTGTATCTAAGTCTTTCTGTGTCCTCTCCTCTTATAAGGATGCCAGTTATTGGATTTAATGCCCATCCTAACCCTGGACTGATTTCATCTTGAAATCCTTAATTATATTTGTAAAGAACACTAATTCCAAATAAAGCAACATTGTGAGGTTCTGGGTGAATGTGAGCTTTTAGGGGACACTATTGCCTTGTCTGTTTGGTGCTGCTATAGCAAAATACTACAGACCGGGTATTTATGAAGAATGGAACTCTATATCTTATAGTTCTGGAGGCTGGGAAGTTGAAAATCAAGGGGCCAGTATCTGGCAAGGGCCCTCTTGCTTCATTATGCCATGGCAAAGGGTAGAAGGCTAAGAGAGTAAGAGAGAGCAAACTCCCTCCCTCAAGCCCTTTAAAATGACATTAATCCATTAATGGGGTCAGAGCCGTCATGATCAAAACACTTTCCATTAGGCCCCACTTCCCAACACTGTTGCATTGAGGATTAAATTTCAACTTGGGATTTGGAGGAGACAAAAACATTCAATTCATATTCGATCCACCACAGGGGTCCTGAGATACATAAAAATGGTGATACAACCATGCTGTATATGAGAGGCCTCGATCTGGGAATCAGTAGATGTGCCAAAAACAAGCTGTGTGACTTTGAATAATTCAGTTAAACACTCTGGGTTTCAGTTACACAGTCAGTGAGATATGACAGTTAAGCCAAGATCTCAAGTGTAAAGGAACCTTGAGAATCATACAGGCTCTTACCTCCCATACTAATGCCTGCATCTCCTCCGCTTGTGACTGTCTCTAAGGTCCCTTAGTTAATATTATTTTCTGTAATCTCCTAGATTCATAAGAAGGACCTGAAGTCTAATGCCTCCCAATTCAGTTTCTTGCATTCTAACTCTAGATGTATCTACAGATACAATATTTTAGCATACCTCTATTCTATCTCTAATAACATGTCACCCTCATAGAACATTTTTGGGACTGAATGGTACAAAGTATTAGTCTAAAAATTATACTGGGCAGCCAGGCGTGGTGGCTCACACCTGTAATCCCAGCACTTTGGGAGGCCGAGGAGGGCAGATCACGAGGTCAGGAGTTCAAGATCAGCCTTGCCAACATAGTGAAACCCCATCTCTACTAAAAATACAAAATTAGCCAGGCATGGTGGCACATGCCTGTAGTCCCAACATCCCAGCTACTTCGGAGGCTGATACAAGAGAATCACTTGAACCTGGCAGGTGGAGGTTGCAGGAAACCGAGATCACACCTCTGCCCTCCAGCCTGGATGACAGAGAGAGACCCCTTCTCGGGGCGGGGGAGGGGAGATGGAATATATATATACACATATACATATACATATATATATGTATATACACACATACACATACATATATATATGTATATACACACATACACATATATATATGTATATACACACATACACTGGGCATACAGGTTGTGTATATTCATATACATATACATATATATATATGTATATATATACTGAGTAAACAGGTAAAAATTGGAACTGTTTCAGGCAACTGAGGCATAAGATCATGTTTTCATCTCTATTAAAACTAGACTTAGACCCTTCATTCTCACGAAATGGTAAATGTTTAATAATAACTAAGATTATGAGTGGTAAGTTTCATGCTCATTACCAAAATGACTAATTACTCATAGTACTTTTATTGTTTTTATATCTATAACTAGCTTCAGGATTCTTAACACAGTGTTTTAGGTAGCGATTGTAAAATAATAAGAGTTAACAGACAAAATGGAAACTATTTGCTACATCTGACTTAAAGAATTACCAGTTTTTCTCTAAGTAAATATGCTATTTACTAAACATTGAAGCCCAAATTTGTAAAAGTCAAATTCTAATAATTAGAATTTCACACATTTAATGGCATAGTATGTGGTAGGGGGGCAGACAACAAGAAGCTTTGCATAACGTATTTCAGAAATAAAATTAAAGGAAAATATGTTCTGCATAGGTAAATAATGATTCTCATAATTGCTCTATTTCCATGCTTTTTATTAGAATTTTCAGTATGCAGAGGATTTGAGGAAAAAATTAAAACAACACCAACAGCTCAGTTTCTTACTAGAGTCTGCCGAATTAGAATTGGATGCAACTGTGGCCCACAGGATATATGCAATTTCATGCTAACTATTTGCTGGAGAGGAAGGAGGTAAGCAACAGGTCTCTGATCCATCTTTTTGGGGGATGGTGGAGGGGTAAGTGGGAGGAGAGACACTCCTAAGAAGAAGTAAGGTGGGTGACACAGCCTAATCTCCTCTTAACATACTAATGCTAGACCCCTGTCAATCAAACTAAATGGTTTCTGTTAGCAGAATTCTTATCTAAGGAATGCTTTTAGCAGAATGTGCCTGGTAGTCTAGCACCGTTTCTAGCAAAGCAATCTGGACTATATAGATATATGAGGTGTGTCTCCCTGGAAGAGGTTGGATAAACTAGGAAATGAGGAGTATAAAACAGAGAAGTTCACATGTTAATGAGGTGGTGACATATCTTACTGAGCAACTGCCTCTGTTAATCTGAGCTCATCTGGTATAGGATGAAAGCATCTGGGGAGAAGCGCTGTGGGTCTTGGGTCTCTGCCTGCATTACCTGTGTTTTGGGATTACCTGTGTCCTTGGAAACAACAGTACATTCTGATAGTGGATAAGATCTGTGATTCCAGGAACTCTCATTAGACAGTTATCTTTTAGGTTGTTTCAGCTCCTTACGAGTGTACACCCTTTTTAAAACTTACCTCTTGACTTAGTTGGTGTATGTATTAGTCTGTTCTCGAACTCAGGAAATACCTGAAACTGGGTAATTTATAAAGAAAAGAGGTTTAACTGGCTCATGTTTAATTTCACTGGCTGTACAGGAAGCATGATGCTGGCATCTGCTTGGCTTCTGGGGATGCCTTCGGAAAACTTATAATCATGGGAGTAGGCAAAGAGGGAGCAGTATCTTCTCATGGCTGGAGCAGGAGGAAGAAGGGGGGGCGGGGAAGTGCTGCATACTTTTAAACAACTGGATCTCATGATAACTCACTCACTATTGCCATGACAACATCAAGGGAGATGGTATTAAACCATGAGAAACTGGCTGCTTGAGCCAATCACTTCCCACCAGGCCCTGCCTCCAACATTGAGGATTCCAATTCGACATGAGATTTGGGTGGAAACATCAGTGCAGGACTGTACTCTGGGTGGCTTTGAATCCAGACAGTTCTTTTGCCTTTTCTCTATTGTAGTTCTCAAGGATAACTATAGAATATACTGAAAATGCACCTTAGTTCTAGGGGAAATGGTCAGAACAGCTTTAATTCTCTTCCAGGTCCCCCCAGAACAGGACGTCCTTCAACATTTTAGCACAGCAAATCATGTGACCTCAAAGTATACACCCCCAGAGTGAGCAGCCTTTTGGGGTTCCTCAACTACATTGTTAGTGGGACACACATGCCAATGAGATTCCATCCACACCGGGCAGCTTTCCTTATCCTTGGGGGAACTGGCTAACGTTAAATATTAGGCTTCTGTGGTCCCTTGATGCCTATCTATAAGTAGCAATCCCACATCATGTAACTTGTGTGCATGGGTGTTCTGTTTTGCCAGACTCAGACAGCTGGTGGCCAGTGCATAATGAACTTGCTTCACAGTTAGCATTTTCAAGGGAGACAATTCTTGTGGAAAAGAGAGACTATGGCTTTATTTCTGTTTCTCTTCCCCTGGTACGGGATGCAGGATCAGCCTGTAGTAGACCTAAAGACAGACATTTTTTCAACTGACCAATTTGTTGAGGGCAAATGCAAAGAGTAGGAGTCGTGTCAAGGCTTGTTGGTGATGTCTGTGGATTCCTGAGCATACAGAGATCATATGTTCAATTCATTTGTTGAGGATGGTAGACTGAAATAGGCTACAGCATCCCATTCTTGCTCCAAATACAAAATGATAAAAATGGCATGTAAATAAATCCATGTACATGATGCACACAGAGTCATTCTATGGACTAGGAACTGTGTGAAATCCATGAAAGACATGGAGTTGAAGACTGCATCCACAGCCCAAAACTACCCTAAGACGTGTGATAACAAAATTGAGGTTGGTGGAACAATGCTTGCACACTGGGAATGGCCTATACTCAGAGTAGGAAGCAAGTCCATGACAACCAACAAAGTGATTCATTGGTTTTGCAGCTAGGAGTAGCTCAGCACTGGATTGTAGATTCATGTATCTTCACCTCAATGTGCATTTCTAGGTGGATGAAGAGGGTGTGGGAGCTTGAGTTAGATATAAAAGGCCATATCCTGAATGGCTGGGTCCTTTAGGAGAAAATGGTGGGCCTCCATCCTCGGATGCCTCATATTCCCAGTGAGGGCAGCCTCAGCCGCACCTTCTGTGGTTACCTTCAAGCTGACACTGCAGGGATGTTTCAGGTAGTCTGACAGGAAACACCAATCCAAAAACTGAACACACAAAATGGAATAGCTAAACATCCAAGGAAAACCACCAGAGGAGACAGAGATGAACTTGAGCTCAGGAGAGTCAGCAGCCTTGGGTATCAGTCAGACGTAGTCCCCTAGAGAGAGAATTATGAAAATATGTCCTCAAATAGAAAGACTCCTAGAGAGGAAAGGCAGTCTCCTTAAAATTTCTTAGGTCACAGTTCTATCCTTGATGTGTTATTTGCTTCTTTGTTTGGCAAGAGAATGACATTCTTATTCTACCCTGAAACCCAGGGAGACAAAGAACACAAATCAAAACAAAATAAACTCTGTAACAATTAGGTCACTGTCCAGCCTGGCCTGCGTAATGAGTGATAACATTCTGACAAGAGATTCAAATCACTAAGAACTTCCTTGGTTTTGGTTGAAAATTAGGGCAATTGACCAAGGTGATTGAGGCATGTTTTTTTCCAATGTATGTAGCGGTCCCCAAATGAGTAAAAATTGATTACATGCCTGAGAGTTTTTGAGATAAAAAATGTATGCAAAGAGAGTTTCTTTTCCTTTGCAATGGAAGGCAAGAAAATTTCTGAAGAGGATTACCAACCTCAAAACGTCATATATAAATAATGCTTCTGAACCCCTCAGCGATGAAAAACTCTAGGCCAGAAAATAGTTATAAAGATGCAAGAATGACATTGCTCAATTGTATCATTCAGTGGTTTCTGGCTAAGGCAGGAAATTCCTCTATTGGTATATAGAAGGTAGGAAAATGCATTTTCAAATGATTGATTCATTGTCACTTAAATTATTTCTGAAAACATAAAAGTCTTTGTTAAAACTCACCAGAGCAGGTACAGATAAAAAGCATTTTTAAAATAAGCTAAAGCTCAAAGGAAAACAAAAACAAAAACTGCAGAATTTAAAATTATATAATTCAAATTCTACTTGGCTTTTTCTACTCTGTTCATTTTGGAAAATTTGCTTAGTTTTTCAGAGTCTTTCTGCCTTCCTTAATAACATAGAGATACTATAGACCTGATATGGCTTTAAAAAATAATTGTATCATTAATACATATTTATTTTAGAAAATAAGCTGGGCATGATGGAAATTTAAATCTATAAACAAATTTCACCTATTTTTTTCTGTAAAAATCTTCAAATTTAATCACCTAAAACCTACTATAGTACCTTGTTATACTAGGTAGCCTATAAATATTGGTTGAATGAATGAAAAAAAAATAGTCTTGTATCTCTGAGCTGGGGAAGTAGACAGGGACCAGATTGTAGATGGATTTGAATTTCATGCTGAAGAGCTTTTATTTTGAGCTGAGAAATATTTTTACCAGCTTTGATATGGTAATGTGGAATATAAATTTAAGTGTGGGAAGTAGCAGTGGACTATCTTGATGGAAACTGAATGAACAGAGGCAGTGGAAAGAGCTTTGGAAAGGTTCCACAGTAGTCACGGTAGTCTGCGGGGTATTATCATCTTAACTATGCTTCCGTTTACTCCATGACCTCTAATAATGTCCCATTATGAAGGGGGAAAAATCGAAGCAGAAAGAGAGCAAGAAATAGAATGATTATTTTTAAAATTGAAATCCTAAGCTTTGCGTATTTCATGTGGGGTGATTCCAAGTGCCTGTGTATTTTCTCATCAGCAAAACAAGCCGGATGCAGGATACTACTGCCTGCTGCCATTGTTAGTGAGAGAATTGAGGCTATGGAAGGTTACATATCTTTTGAGACCCCCCCAGCTCATGAGTGTTAGAGTGATTTTCAAACCAAGGTTTAAATGACTACAAAGTCCTTTTTCCTTCTATAAACCTTACTTTCTTCGCCGATGAGGGAGGAAATCAAACTTCCTAGGCTTCCAAAACTCAAGGCTTTGCAACACTCTGTGGTGCTCGTATTACAACGAAAAATGAGTTGCTACCCTTAGAACTTTACTCCTTCACTAAATTATCTCACTGCCTCATCTCTTCCTCTTACTCATGTTGGAACTAATGTGTTCTTTTGTTTCTTCTAAACTTAAAGGTATCTTTTCAGAGCTTAGACAAGCACCTCATGATCTGCAGTAGAATTATGTTGAATTTTTTCCTGGTAGCCCACAGAGTCTTTTTCACTCCTTCGTATTCACAACTGTTTTTCTACCTGGATAATATCCAGAGCTCAGAAAGCCTGAAGTTTTCAGATATTTGTAGGTATCCAACCTCAGTCAACAGTTTGTTCTTGAGAGAGCAATCTCATTCATTCTTAATCTCGGGCTCCAAACTCAGCCACGGAGTCAGTCTAATTCCCTTTCTCTGCCAGCCTTACCTTTCTCCAAAGAGGCGTCTTTGGAGAACACAGAGCTAATTGGTTCTCTTCATGGATCAAAATTACGCAGACAAGCTCATGAGGCAATACATGAATTAGAGTGAAAGGTAATTGCCAAGAGCATTGAGTTATAATAAAAGAAGAAAAACACTGAGAGAAAAGAGCACCTAACAAGTAGAGACGTGGAATAACCTTCTAAATGAGGTTGACAGCGCCCTTTTTTTTCTGCAGTCAAAATAGAAGGGAACAAATCACTGAAGAGGTCTGTAAAAGTCAGTCTTTGAGTGTCATGCAAATGAATGTATGACCTCCCTGGTTCCCCTTGCTCTTTAATTTCCAAGAACTAACATTCCTTGCCACCTCACTGCAAAAGCGAGAGGTGTCTCTAATGACATTCCCAAAGTCAAGAA